AAGATTTGGGGTTTCTTTACAGATTTGATTTACACCGTGCTTTCAATCCCAATCAATGAAAGCACCCAGCTAGCCCGTCCTAGCTAATCTCAAAAAAACAGAGCTGAGTCAGATCTAATCAGTTGGTGGGCAAAACAGCAGAATAAAGCGGTAAAATTCACGTTGAGCAAAAATCCCCCGTGCATGCAAGAGCCAAGCGGCTTTTACCTGTTGCCAAGAAAACTCAAGTTTATCTCTGCTAAATTACCAAGACCCAGCCGCCTTTGAATTGAGCGACTCTTTCAAACAATGAAAAAATACACGTATAGGTATATTCATGCAAGAGACATCTGGCGTGGCGTGAGAAGTGTGGGGAAGAGATGCTTCTGAAATTTGGAATTCTAATTTACCTGATCCTATTTTTGAAGCAGAAGAGAAGGGTTGTAATTTCAACAACCGTAGCAATAGCACTTAAAGCTTATATTTCTGGTTTTATAACTGTCTGGTTTGGTCCAGCAACCGAACAGGACAGGTGCAGACTTCAACGGATAGCTGAAAAAAACAATTGCAGCCAGCCTGCCTTCCACTGAGAAAGTGTATGTTGCATGGGTCAGAAGGAGAGCTGAGTAAATATCTACAAAGTACAAACCTCTCACATTCTGGACATCAACTGTTTCAACTCCTCCGCTTGGGATGCCGCTACAGGACATTGCTTGCCAAAACAACTAGACCCAGGGACAGTTTTTTCCCTTGTGTCATCAATCTGCTGAACACCTAATTCCCACAGGGGTGGGCTGCTGGGGGTTCACGGCAGTGGTGGGTTCCTCCCGGTTCGGTCCGAGCCGGTAGCGGTGACGATATGACAGCACCGAACCGGTTCTCCCCCCCGCCCTCCCACCCCCCCACCCCCCCATGTTATTCTTACCTTTTATTTGGTCCCACCCCCAATCTATTGCTGCCTCCTGAGTCCCAGCTGATGACTAGAGGGAAAAAAACTGTTTAAACTCTTGCCGCGGGGCTTCAAAGGGCCGTCCTACGGCTGATCAGTGTTAAAAGCAAACAAATGAGTTGGGTCGTAAGTGCGAGGACTGGTCGTAAGTGCGAGGACCTTCCAGAAATGACTCTGACCAGCTAGCCACACCCACCTAGTCACATGACCTCCAAGCCACACCCACAAAATAAGCCACGCCCACAGAACCGGTAGTAAAAAAATTTAGAACCCACCCCTGGTTCACAGGCGTTTGGGAGAACCTCTAGCTAAGATTCTGTGCAGTTCAGAGAACCTCCAAATCCCACTCCTGGCTGGCCCCACCCACCCCTCCCCTCCCAGGAGACCCCACGCGGCCCATTTTGGATGCAGATAAGTGCAGGGTGTGCGTGGAGGCTCAGGGAGGGTGAAAAACGGGCCTACTGGAAGTTTGGGAAGGGCCTCCGGAGCCTGGGGAGGCCGTTTTCGCCCTCCCAGAGGCACGAGAAAAGCCTCCGGAGCCTGGGGAGGGCAAAAACACTGCCCCCCCTCGCTGTGGTGCAGGTGGCCGATTAGGCCACGCCCACCATGGCCACTCCCACCCAGAAACCAGACAGAGAACCTCTTGCTAAAATTTTTGAAGCCCACCCCTGCGCAGTACTCTCTTAAGTCTAAGTATATTTACCCATATGATATGGCTGTAATTTTATTATTGTCCTTCTGATCATCTCTACTACCTCCTTTTATTGGTATCATTATTATGATTATTATTACTCTATTGTTTTGCATGTACCCGGAGAGCTTCCGTACCGGAGACAAATAGCTTGTGTGTCTTACCACACTAGGCCAAATAAAGTACAGGTAGCCACAACCACAACTGAGCCCAAAATTTCTGTTGCTAAGTGAAACATTTGTTAAGTGAATTTTGCCCCATTTTACGACCTTTCTTACCACAGTTGTTAAGTAAATCACTGCAGTTGTTAAGTTAGTAGCAACAACAATAGCACTTAGACTTATATACCGCTTCATAGTGCTTTACAGCCCTCTCTAAGCGGTTTACAGAGTCAGCATATTGCCATTTACTAACCAGTACTAACCATTTCTGACTCTGCTTTTGATGTTATTAAGTGAAGCCTAGATAGACTAGGTTTTAATATGGTTTTAACCTTGAAGTGTCTGGTGGGGAGAAATCCCAGTCCCGGCCCCCAGTTAATAGTTTTAGGGTTCGTGACCCTAAACCTGTTCCTCAGCAACAATCTGGGTCCTCATTTTACGGACCTCAGAAGGAAGGCTGAGTCAACCTTGAGCCGGTCAGGATCGAACTGCTGGCAGTGAGCAGAACTTGCCTGCAATACTTCATTCTCACCACTGTGCCACTACAATCCGTCCTCCCTCCCTCCCTTGCACTTAAACTTATATACCACTTCACAATGCTTTATAGCCCCTCTCTAAGCAGTTTTCAGAGTCAGCCTATTGCCCCCAACAATCTGGGTCCTCATTTTACGGACCTCAGAAGGATGGAAGGCCGAGTCAATCTTGAGCCGGTCAGGATCGAACTGCTGGCAGTGAGCAGAGCTTGCTTGCAATACTGCATTCTCACCACTGCGCCACCACACCGTTTTGCAACCTTCTGACAAGCAAAATCGGCGGGGAAGCCAGATTCACTTAACAACCGTGTTGCTAACTTAACAACTGCAGTGATTCCCTGAACAACTGTGGCAAGAAAGATTGTAAAATGGGGCAAAACTCACCTAACAACTGTCTCGCTTAGCAACCGAAATTTGGGGCTCTGTTGTAGTCGTAAGTCGAGGACTACCAATGTGGAAATTTTTTCAAACGAATCCAATTGCACCATTTTCTATTGAAGTGGAATACAGGGGGGAGAAAAAACCCCACTAACATGAAGCAGAAATGACTTCTGACTGCTTCATGTACAGTATTCTACTGGGACATGCATTAAAGGAAACTCTGCTCCACAAATATAAAAGATATTTTGGGGCCTCTGAGAGTTTTTTCCATCAGGTCATCCTGAATATCCCATCTGGGATATGTCATGTCTATGTAGATATAAATTTACCAGGTTTATTTCTCTGGGAACTGCTGTACTTGACAGAGGTTAGAGCCCTACAGTAGTACTGCCTTTGGTCTTGAAAGCCGCCTAACCGTTTAAAGCTCTTGAGCGTTTCAATTTTAATTAGAAGAGTTTTACCAAAGGAAGCCAGAGGGGGAAAAAATCCTTCAGTGGGGAAAGAGGAGGGGGATTTCATCCTTCTGTACTGCAAGATGCTTGGATCTAGCAAACACCACTTAGGTACACAATTAATATGGCTTTCTGTGCCCCGAAGCTGTGCAGCGGCTTGGATTTAATCTCCAAAAAGTGCTTTAAAATTGCCCAAATCTGACTCGGCCTCTGCATATAAAACCCAAAGTAATTGGTTTTCCAGGCGAAACCTCAGAGTCCCCTTAGCAAGATTTATTAAAAAGAAATTGGATTCTAAGAATTCCAGATCAACAAGTAATATACACAAAGTCCTTGACATACCACCGTTCTCTTAGTGACGGTTTGAAGCTACGCCACTGAAAAAAGTGACTTATAACTGCTTTTCACACTTATAGCCGTTGCAGCATCCCTGGGGTGACAGCTGCAGTGATTCACTTAACAACGGTGGCAAGAAAGGTCATAAAAATGGGGGCAAAACTCGCTTAACTGCCTTGCTTAGCAATGGAAATTTTGGGCTCTATTGGAGTTGTAAGTCGAGGATTACCTGTATCAAAAAGTACATTGGGGCGAGTAAAAAAATAAAATAGGCAGTATTCTGATTTCACTGTGATGGCTGCTGCCATCTTGCTTTTTTTGACTCTATCGTGTCAACAGCTCCTGTACCAGGAGATTAGAAAGGGATTAGTGATCATTTCTCTTACCTATCCTTTTGCTTTGGGATGGGAAGGGACTGGTGAGGCGATTAGCTAGGCCGCGTGGCGAAGGCAACATATATAGGGCAGGGGTGGGTAGGGCGAGCGTCGAGCAGCCGGAAGGGGCGAGTGAGCGTCGAGTGGCCGTAAGCGAGCGGCGACTGGGCAGGGGGCGTGGCCAGCCAGAAGTCGCTACCAGTCTGGCGACCAAGACCAAATTGCCACTACCGGTTCGCCTGATGGACAAGTGGCTGTCCAGTCTCTGCTTAAAAACTTCCAGTGTTGGAGCATTCACAACTTCTGGAGGCAAGTTGTTCCATTGATTAATTGTTCTGTCAGGAAATTTCTCCTTGGTTCTCAGTTGCTTCTCCTCTTGATTAGTTTCCATTCATTGCTTCTTGTCCTACCCTCAGGTGCTTTGGAGAAAATCTTGACTCCCTCTTCTTTGTGGCAGCCCTTCAAATATTGAAACACTGCTATCTTGTCACCCCAAGTCCTTCTTTTCATTAAACTGGACATACCCAGTTCCTGCAACCGTTCTTCATATGTTTTAGCCTCCAGTCCCCTAATCATCTTTGTTGCTCTTCTCTGCACTCTTTCCAGAGTCTTTGAAGTGTCCCCTTTCCTTGGTGCCTTCAGCTCATGCCGATTTTGCTTAAGGGTTGATCCAGGCTGAGGGAGACACCTTTTCTTCTGATTGAAGGATGGTTAGAAGCAGTGGTGAAATTCAAAAATTTTCCCTACTGGTTCTGTGGGTGTGGCTTGGTAGGCATGGCTGGATGGGTGGGGTCATGTGACTGGGTGGGCATAGCCAACTTTTTTTTTTTTTTTACTTTTTTTAGCATTTTTTAACTACTGGTTTGGGTGAATAGGTAGTAAAAATCCTTTAAAAAGTAAAAAAAAAAAGGCTCCGACTATCAGCTGTGAAAATCAGCTGTGCTGCGTGATCCTCGGAACCTTTTTTAAAAACTTTTTTAAAGCATTTTTAAATTACCGGTTTGGGTGAACCGGCTCGAACCAGTAGCATTTCACCCCTGGTTAGAAAGTCCAACATAGCACCAGGAAGGACTCAAAAAAGCCAAACCAAAAACAATCTGAGATTGTGTGCACCAAAACCAGATACTAAAAATGCACAATTATGCACAATCTATGATTTCCTTTATTTTAGGTTATTATTAATCAGTCATAATATTTTTTGTGTGTACTTGTGTGTGATTCCAGTCTCAGTTTTGGGAACAATACTACTGATCCTTGTCTGTTCTAGGGGGGCCACCTCTGTGGTTTACAGCTGCGAAGAGAAAGGATCTCAGGTCCAGTATGCTGCCAAAATATTGAAGAAAACGGTAAGTGTAAATCTCTTTACTTTCATCACGCACATTTTAGCTAGCGTTCTATCCTGCCTTAATTTGTAATAAAGCAGTGTAAAAGGTGCTCCCGTTTCCTATTTTCCCCATAATCTCTATCATATGAGATGGATTGACTCAACATCCCCCAGCCGCTTTCATGCCAGTGGCGGGACTTGAACTCACTGTTTCCTGATAATTGGCCAAAGTCATCTACCAGACTTTCATTCCTAAAGCGGGACTAGAACTCACTGTTTCATGATGATTTTTTTTTTTAATTTGATTTATATGCCGCCCTTCTCCGGAGACTCAGGGCAGCTTACAATGCGTTAAGCAATAGCCTTCATACTTTTGTATATTTATACAAAGTCAGTTTATTGCCCCCATAATCTGGGTCCTCATTTTACCTACCTTAGAAAGGATGGAAGGCTGAGTCAACCTTGAGCCTGGTGAGATTTGAACTTGCAGTAATTGCAGGCAGCAGATGTAAGTGGATGTTAATTAGTCTGCTGAGCCACCAGAGCTCCTTTAGTAGGTGGCTAAAGTCACCTACCCGGCTTTCATGCCTAAGGCGGGACTAGAACTCACTGTTTCCTGGTGATTGGTCCAGAGTCAGCCAGCTGGCTTTCATGCCTAAAGTGGGACTAGAACTCCCAGTCTCCTGACTTCTAGCTTGTGCCTTAACAACTACTAGACCAAACTACCCCCTAGTGCTTTTCTGTGTTCCTTACAAAATAGCCTAGGGGAGAATATGAAAACAGAGGAACATGGATGATTTTCTGCAGTGAGGGACAACCGATCTCTCAAGAAATTAGCACAGCATTGTAAAAATAGTGGAAACCACTCCAGATTAGTTTAGAGCAGTTTACTCTGCATGGCAATACATGTAGTCCTCAACTTATGACCACAACTGGGATCAGAAATCCAGTTGTAAGGCATTGCAGTCATAAGTTGAGGCAATTACGTGACCAGATCCGTCTTTTTTTTGCCTTTTTTCACAGTGGTCGTTAAATGAACCAATATTTACTGATAAAAGAGAATATTTGTAGCTCGGGATTGAAATGAGGGGTCCTTGGTTCGTTTTTTGCCAGAAACCAGCAAAAATGTCACAAATTGTTGACAAGCGGCTGAGGGATATTGCAACCAGTTGCCAAGTGCCCAAAATGTAGCCTCATTATTTCAGAGCGTTTGTGTGTGTGACATTTTACAATGGCCAGAAGTGCTTTGCAGGCCCCTAAAGCTCCCATTCCAAGACCATCCTAATTCATTCCGAATGGTTGTAAAATAACCAGTCACAAGTTAAGGACTACCTCAGCAACATCTGCAGGTAAAAAGGATCAAAGCGCCACCCCTTTTGTGTAGCCCAGAACAGGCAAAACCGTGGATGTGATGTCATAATCCAAGCCCCACCCCTTTTGTGGGCTAGGTTTGGATTGCAATGGAGTATCCACCATCTTGTCTATCATGATTCCCCACCCATGGGACCCTGATTGCTCCCTCAGTATTTTCCAATAAAAGGTTCTGCTTTGGCTGCCTGAATCATTTCTAAAGCAGAGATACTAATTCAGGGTTTCTCAGCCTTGGCAGTTTTCATATATGTGGACTTCAACTCCCAGAATTCCCCAGGCAGCTAACTGGAGAATTCTGGGAGTTGAAGTCTTCACATCTGTCAAAGTTAAGAAACACTGTACTAAAGATTGGATTTCTATTACTGTATTCTCATAGATAAGCCCATCAGCAGATAAACTGAACTACAAAATCATTACCAAAATCACCACCGAATTTAATTTTCACTTACCTTAGATTCTCTGACAGCAACAGAATTGTTCACCTTCTCCACTCTGGTAATAACTTTTTGCTTGAAAATTGCATCATACGCAAACGCAATTTCCAGGCAATTACCTATCTCCCAGAAATGCGTTCAGCGAGAGCTGGGAAACTGTAAACATTTACATCATCCTTAAAGCCTATGATTTTTTTTTTAAAAAAAGCCCTAAGCCCTAGTGTGTTGATAAGTCAAAATCAATTTTTAAAGTACATATATACATACAGTAGTGGCCAAAATTGTGGAAACATTTGGGAAAAGTGTATTTTTGAGGTCTGATGGCTAACACCACCACTTTTTTTTTGGAGTAGTACCATAAAATTATATCAATGGAAAGATAATTTAATCAAGAATGTAATGCAATGACTTTTATGAAGGATTTGCTATTAGAATAGCAGTTACAGTATAAAGAAGAAAAGTGAAACACGTAGAAAAAAACAAGATATACAAAAATGATCACCATGTTAGTTAATAGTTGATTAACCTTTAGCGTGAATTACGGCCTTACAACGTCTTCCCATGGAGTGAACCAAGTCTTTTAGTTCTGCAGCTGTTATAATGTGAAACCAAGATTGAATGATTGCTTCTATTAACTGGGTTTTATTGCTGGGTCGCTTCTGACTAACAAATTTCTTTAGTTGGCTCCATCGATTTTCAATTGGGTTAAGGTCTGGTCATTCCAGCAGTAGAATATGATTATCTTGAAACTCCCCCCCCCAAAAAAGTGGTGTTATTAGCCATCAAACCTCAAAAATACACTTTTCCCAGAAGGTTTCCACAATTTTGGCCATTACCGTACATACATACATTTTATACATATATATATTACACTCCAGTTGCAACATTCTGGGTGCTTTACAGAATATAATGATGGAAATCCTCAACTTACAACAATTCATTTAGTGGCCAAAATTACAACAGCACCCAAAAAAGTGACTGATCACCGTTTTTCATATTTATGACAGTTGCAGTGTCCTGGGGTCATGTGATCACCTTTTGTAACCTGACAAGCAAAGTCAATAGGGAATCCTGATTCACTTAACAACTGTGGCAAGAAAGTCATAAAATGGGGCAAAATTCGCTTAACAAACGTCTCCCTTAGCAACAGAAATTTTGGGGTTAATTGTGGTTGTAAATTGGGGACTATCTGTAATGCTCTTCAGAAGTTTATCTCAATGAAATGGTTTTGACAGTCTTGTAGTAATCTTCAATGGCAGCCCTGCAAAGGGTGCATTGTAGTAGTCAAGAAACATCTAGAGCAAAGCAAGAGTCATTATTGCTAGATCTTCTAGATCCAGGAAGGACTAGCCATGGTGCACCAATGCTCTCTACCTAATGATCAAGCAAAAGCTATGAACCTAGGAGACGCCTGCCTAGGACACAGAACTGCTCCTTTTAGGAGACTGCAGGTGGTCCCTGACATATGACCACTATTAGGATGATAATTTCCATTACTTAACAAGGTGATTGTTAAGTGAGTCGCGCCTGATTTTATGACCTTTTTGCCACTGCCCTTAAGCACATCACCGCAGTTAAGTGAATGACATGGTCATTAAGCAAATCTGCCTTCCCTCATTGACTCTGCTTGTTGGAAGCAGCTGGGAAGATTTCAAATGGCGATCATGTGATCCCAGAATACTGCAACCATTGTAAATACGTGCTGATTGTCAAGCACCTGAATTTTAATCACATTATCATGGGAATGTCATAAGTGTGAGGCCTGTTCATAAGACTTTTTTTCAATGCCGTTATAGCTTCAAACGATCATTAAACGAATGTTGTAAGTCAGGGGTGTCAAACTCGATTTCATTGAGGGTTGCATCAGGGTTGTGTTTGACCCCAGAGGGCTGCGAGTATGTGGCCACAGGTGGGCATGGTATGACATCACTTGTGTCAGGGGTACCACTTTCCTGAGACCCTCCCTCACATTATAACCTTCCTTCCTTCCTTCCTTCCTTCCTTCCTTCCTTCCTTCCTTCCTTCCTTCCTTCCTTCCTTCCTTCCCCTTCTCTCTTCATTCTCCTTTCTTCTGCCTTTCCCTCTTTCCTTATTTTTCCTTCCTTGCTCTCTTCCCATCTTTCCTTCTTTTCCTTGGTCTTTCCTCTTTCCCTTTCCCTTTCTCTTTTCCTGTCCCTTCTTGCATGCCCAAATGCAAAAAGGGAAACATTTCTCCTTTTGTTTTGTTTTTAGTTTGTTTTGCTCGCCCTCTGCCAGCAAAAATGGAACCCTCCCGAGCTCTGTTTTCGCTGGCAGAGGCACCACGAGCCGGTCCTTTGCTGTTTCCAGGCTGGCCAGATCTAAGCCTTGAGTTTGACACCCCTGTTATAAGTCAAGGACTGACTGTATGACCTTGGATGATGATGATAACAACAACAATTACAACAACAAAGTAATAACAATTTTAATAGTTTATTAAATATATATGCCCAATTCTCAATGACTCTAAGCAGTTTACAATTGTTTAATCATTTAAAACCAAAGAACAATACAAAAGACACAAAACCAGCATCGTACAAAAGTACAGGGGGTTCTCTTACTTACAACCATTAGTTTAGTGACCATTTGAAATTACCACATCACTGAAAAAGAAAAGTCCTCACGCTTATGACCATCACAGCATCCCCGCAATAGCGTGATGAAAATTTGGGCATTTGGTAACTGGCGGTGATTTACGATGGTTGCAGTGCATGTGATCGCCGTTTGCAATCTTCCCAGCCAGCCTCCAATGAGTAAATTCAATGAGCAAAGCTAGGCTCGCTTAATGACCGCCTGATTCATTAAACAATTGTAGTGATTCACTTTAACAACCTTTGCAAGAAAGTTCATAAAAATCAGGCATGATTCACTGATTGCCTTGTTTAGCAATGGAAATTCTGATCTTAATTTTAATTGTAAACTAGCTGATAACCTGGCGTTGCCTGGGTATTTATTTATCCCCCGTCAACTTGCCCTCTTTGCTTGAAGCTGAGGGCCTTTTTTTTTTAAAGAACCATTGCTCCTTAAAAGAGAGAGCCCCCTTGTGGAGTACTGGGAAGCTGTTACCATGGCAACTCCGCTGCTCAGTACAGTAGAAGCCATTTTAAGGCGCAACAGGCTGTATCTTAACAGAACTTGAATCCAAAATGCACACTATCACTGTCGAAAGTACTGTGATTTGACACTATAGATATAATTC